GGACATGGGACACTCTGCTCTTTGATACCAGGGTGGGAATTGTCATGTTATGCAAAGCAGCAACTGACAGCAGAGCTCTGGTAATTCAGAAAATTTTCAAAAGATACACACTGGAAGTCTTCTAAAGCTTGTGCTTTAACGAAGAAGTCACAGAGAGAGTCTGATATAATGCATTAGGGCTACTGGCTATGAATCATGAATGAACTTTGCTAATCACTATGGAACTCTAATTGCCTGACCATTGATCACCTACTGTCATTTGATGGTATTTGAAGAAGTTTGCTAAGTAAGCATCCTACATAGGCTTTGGAAATGTTGATAAAAAAAAAAATGACAGAATAACAGAATTCGGGAATATGTTTTCATGAGCTGTAGAGGAACAACTAAACCTTAACAAAAGTATTGGAGAAACAAAAGCTGACAATTATAAAGACCTGTTATGTCATGCAAATTCTTCACCCTCAGCCTAATTAAAGGTCTTTGGACACAACGGTATATAGCTTGTAAATTGCCAGGATTATTTTTTTGTAATGCCACAGTGAAGTTAGTGAACGTATCGGAGGTTTACTGAGTGTCCTTGCTATCAATTTGTGAGGTACCAAAGCATGGTGTTTATTCAGCACATTTACTTTTCTTAATAACTGGCATACTAAGTCATTGAAGTTCTCCACAATTAACATGAATGAGGCAGCAGAATGACCTCGAGAATGTGAGAAGTCTGTTTCCTCATGTCTTGTTAACAAGCAAGCGATCACCATATTTTTGCTTCAGGAGCAACCCAACAATATGATTCTAGAATATTTACCAGAGTATAGAAATACTATGTTTCTGAGTAATTACTGTTTGAACCCAAGCTAGTATTACAGAGCATACTATTTTCTGCTTAATTGTCTCTTAAGTCAGAGGATAATATATTTATTTTAAGGACTGCATACTGACGTTTGACTTGCTCACAGAGGAGGAGCACGAGAGGAAGGATGAACGCTGGTAGATACACACCAGTTTCCATATTTTGCATTACAAAGCATGCAAGTACGTTCTTTTTGAAGAGTCACTCTGGTGTTAGATGGGGAGCATTTAACAAGCTAAAATCATTTTCTATGTTTTTTCCTAGTAATGTGTAACGTATCTGACTAAATTAGGGTTGGACTAGATGATCTTAGAGGTCTTTTCTAACCTGAATGATTCTATGATTTTATGATTCGGTGAAATTGAAACAAACTTAGCCTGCACAAAATATACCAGCATGAAACCACACTCAACTTTCACAGAATGCTGGATCTCATCTGCCCAAAGCTAACAGTCCTGTGGAAGGACCACCGAGTGGAGACCAGCCAGGATTCTTTCTGTAATGCATGGATTCGTAATTATCAAGTCGTAAAAGCTGGATTGCAAAACATTGGAAATAACATTTACTTTTCAAAACATCCAGCTAATTAAACAGATCAGTCTACATTGTTTATTGCTTAGCTATGTGAAGAAAATCAGCTAGTGAAAACAGCTTGTAATACCAGAACAAAAGCATGAAGAAAAAAGTGGTAACTAAGCAGGAAGACCTTTTTATCAATTGCACTGTGATATATTTCTACGTCTACAGAATTCATTTAGTATTGCATGGAAATGTTCCTCTTATATCACTGTAGATATCTTGCTGGTTCTATGTTCTAGTGATACTTCTCTTTCATAATGTCTATATAGTAACCTCCTGCTTCTGTCCCACTAGCATTGCAAATGAAAATTCATTCAAATGGAAGCAGAAAGAACACTTGAAATGAGATATTTTTTTTTTTTCTGAGAGCCATGCTTTTCTTTTGATGAGCGCACTTGATAAAATGTGTTCCACCCACAGCCCCCTGCCTTCCTCTGTGTTTCACTGATAACGTGACCCACCACACTGAAACGTTATTATTTCCTGAAAGGCTGTAGGCAAGCATCACGATGAGAAGACAAAAAGGGAAGTGAATGTTAAGGAGAATGGGAAAGAAAGGAGTTTTGTGTACGTAGGAGGAAGTAAGAAGAAAGAGATAAAAAATAATAAAAAAGAGCATTGGATAATAAAAAGAGGGCAAATAAGTGCATAGTCCTTTCAAAGTGTACGCATCATAGAATACAGAGGAATAATTCTACCCACATCATTACTCAAAATTCCTGATAATTTATGAGGAATGTAAATATGGGAAATGAGGATGGATCTCAGTGACATTACCATCAGCTTAATGTTAATATAATGGAGTTCATATTTTATAATATAGTAGGCAAGAGATTATTTTCTGTTGTGTTTCAAAAATACCTTTGATTAAAGAAAGTACAAATCAGAAATGAAAAGCAAGAGTATTTTATTTACATAAAGTTTAACTGGTTTTAACATAATTCCTGGAGTATTTCTTACACCCACACTTTTCATAAATTTGTGCTTTCCACAAGTATGTAAGAAAATGGTATTTAAGAACAATTACTTGATGATAACTTTTGCAAGCAAAGCTGATTACATTTGTAATCACAGGAGGGTTTGAGACAAGAAAAATATCCCAGCAGGTGAATACCAGTACTTCTGAAACATATGGCAGTGACGTATCTGACTTCACCGGGGTGGATTCCATGCTATATGCTTTTCCTTCAATGTGACTTTGAAATCTGCTTCATTGCCAGTGACATCACTTCTTTGAATAAGCGCTTACTTCGGTTTTAGCTGGAATTCACCTTGTATAAAGGATCTGCAAAAAGCGTTTGCTGCATTTAAATTCCTGTGCTTTGAGCAATTTCATTTTTTAAGTGTACCTTAAGCTTCTCGTTAGGGTTATTAAAGGAAGGAAATACAACCTATTTCCCATCACACCAAGGTCTCGGGGGTCTCAGATGACCCTTTATGGATGACATTGGCTACTAGCAGATAGTGTGCAGTGGAACAATGGGCAGATCAGCAAAGTAGGGCAGGTGGTGCTGAGCCCACATCGCGTGTGTTGTATGGAGAGGTTATTTCAGACTGGCCGTGGCCTAGTGACATGGACTGGATACCCACTAGCAGTTGAAGCACAGCTTGGAGTAAATGCATGGGTGCAGTCTTTGAGCATGGGTTTAGGTTTAGTTTCATCTGAAATTTCATGCACACTAAGACTGCTCTGCAATGTAAACTGAAGCCTGGTAAGGGGAAACTTCCTTCTTAAATAAACACTGCATGCTTTCTGCCATGTTTCCTCTCATATTTGGGTCTGTAAAAGAGCTTGGGAATTATTTGGGTGTTGAGGTGCTGTGGCATAACCTACCACACTAACCGGTTGCTTACCTCCTGTGTAAATCACCTTACTTGTAAATTCTTTGAGGCATCATCTTCTCTTTTCCTAACACCGATGCAGATGGATAATAATTATTGTGTTACAAATGCAAATACGTTATTATAGTTTTATTCCCATTACAGCTCATCTAGTGTTATCTCTTTTCTATTTCCAGAAAATTTCTCATGTCTTTTATGTCTAAGACATCTGGTCAGTATAGCTCAGCTACAAGCCAAGGATTGTAAGAACTCTTTCAATTAGCATAATCTCCCAGTCACAAACAGTAAAATCCTTGTCATCAGCTGGGAGAATTATACAAGGATGCATCCAGTCATTGTAGATGTTTTGGAGTGGTGTGGCAAGGGGGAGGGAGCTTATTTCTTTATAGCGCAGTTAACGCACAGAATTAAAATACTTCAATTATTCATTTATCATTTAGTACTATAAATTCATTTAATTGCTAGGATACAGACCTATTTTTAGTAGAGTAGTGCAGTTCACCAATAGTGGCTCTGGTAGCTATGCAAAATACACCAGAAGATGTGAGAGTGACCACACAGTCAAGGCAACAGCATTGCCAGGTTCAGCTATATCTGCAAATGTACAGGATGAGCCTCAAGGCAGCATTAAGTGGCACAGGAGGAGAAAACCCTCTATTAAGCTCTACCATTTTGAAGGCTGACTGGGATGTGTATTGCTCAGCTCACTCCTCCAAATGAGTCAATGTCTCTTTCTTTATAAGGCTAGCCTCCGTCAGACAGGCTTGTATTTCTTCTGCTCCTGTGTCCCCAGCCATAAAGGATTGTTGGACATCTCATGGACAGTTTTTTTTGTGTGTGTGTGGTTTTATTTCAAATTTTTTAAAGTATCTTAGTAATTAGTGTGTGAATTAGGAACTTGTGTTAAAGATGAAAAATGTTGTGAGTGAGGTTATGGACTGTGTTCAGCTGGACCAGAGTCCTGCTCACCACTCTGAATGGTTACTCACTTAAGCCCTCTGGACTGCTCTTCAGAAACACCTAGATTTTGCCCTTGATGATACACACAGGTTTAAGAAGGATTTAGGCCACCAAAAGCAGTATTCCTGCACTTCTGTTGGTAATAAGGATTTTTACATGGCAAATCAGCAAACTTAGCATAGGTCTTTGGAGACTTAGATAAGAGCCTTACCCATACACTCTCATTTACTCTTCATTAGCAGGCTTCTCATTCTTCACTAGCAGACTCTTACTTGTCTCTAGAAGATTTTCTTTATCCATAATTTATGTTTAGATTTAAGAGAAGGGAAGATAAAATACTTTTCTTGCACATTGTTGTTAGTGTACTTTCAGCCTCATTCTTTCAGACTTTGTGAAAGTAGACCCCAATGTTTCAGTGCTGCTTTCTTGTATGCAGAAAAGTAAGAAATATTTTAGATCTGCTGATGCGGATTAGCTGCTTTGAACTGTTAGCTTTGTTCCAGAAAAGTTCTGCAATTGAGAATGTAGCATTGTGTGTGCGTGTTTGTTGTACAAGTAAATACACTGTTTGTCCATGCTTTGGGATTTGGATCTTGGGACTGCAGTGCTGGTGCCTGAGGCTGGTATAACACGAGATTAGTACTATAGTTATTGCTAAAGTGGATTTAAATTCACCGTCACTGTGCCCCGGTTTAGTCACTTACTAGTTGCTGTTCCATTTACAACCTCTGTTTATACTGACTTGTACTCCTTTTCTTTTTCCACTCAGATGTTGCAAGAGCAATTGAGTTACTGGAGAAACTGCAAGAATCTGGAGAAGTACCGGTACACAAGCTACAGTCTCTAAAGAAGGTGCTGCAGAGTGAGTTTTGTACAGCTATCAGAGAGGTATGGAAGTGCGATTTTTAGTTATTTCTCAGAGTAACATTCCTATCATAAAAATAAAAGTCCACGTGCCTTTCAGTGCTGGAGAAGCAGGAGTACCTTATATATAAGACAATGGATCCGAGATGTGTCTGTAGCTGCCTGTACTGTGCAGGAAGCTGAAGTTACTGAAGAGCAGACACGGAACAGTTGCGTCAGCATCAAGCCTGAGGCAATTAGCCTTGCTGAGGAGAAAGGGTGATTAACTAGTACTTTAGTATTCTGCTGGTGCTGTTTCAGTGTCTACACTAACCCGTACAGCACATGGGGACAAGCCAAGTTGGGTCAGTCCAAGCTTAAATGCCTTTTCTTTGAACTCAGGTGTGAGATATAATCAGAGCATGGAAGCTAACTGGAGCTAACAGGAATCTTGCATTTGAAGTCAGTGGTCAGGTCCCAGTGGATATTGCTCCACATGTCAGAAATTTTTGTTAGATTGCTAAGAACTGTGATCATTACACTGCAAGGCATGGTCAGGGTCCTTCCTAAGCTCTGCCTAGCAGTAGATAAATGATGATTTCTTCAAGGCAAGATAAAGAAGCACCTCCCTTCCTACACACATACTAGTAGTATCTTTAAAGCAGTTACATTATAAATACTTCTAAAAGAAGTTTCTTAGACAAAAAAAAATAAATTTCGTGTCACATTTCTTACCTACTAAACTGGATGTTTTTAGTCTGCCTGTCTGAAGCAGCTCTAAATGCCCCGATGAAGGCAACATTTTTTTTTTTTTCTTCCAGAAAATCTGTAAGAAATTGTGTTTCAGTTTGTCTATCTACTGCCTGGAACCAGTCCTCCCGCACTGAATCAATGGGAAATCTAATGTTACCTCAGTGGCAGCAGGATTGAATTCCTGATAACTAGGCAACAGCAGCACATTGATTGAGTGGACTGCTGGGTGGCTGGAAGGAAGAAAGAGAAGAACAGACATCAGTTTAATAAGCAGAATGCAATCACGCTCTTTGTTTTATGGAATATATTCTTCAGTGTGAGAAACAGAGAGAGGTTTCCACTAAAATGAATGGCTGTTTTCAAGGCTTTTTAATGGGAGTAGTGTTCAATGACAATAAAGTCACTACGTACCCTGAAAAGCTGATATTTTGACTAGTCCTTTCATTTAACTAACTAAATGCTTCCTTAATTGACCACAGAGCATTGAAAAGTTAGTTTTCTTCATATAGCAGAGTTTGGCACTCCAATTGTTACAGGAATTTTCAATCTCTCATCATCAGTTAAATCTTATCAAATTTACATTCATCTCTGGAAAATACTTGTAACAGAAACAGACAAGAAGCTTTTTGGAATGGATACAGAGCCTAGGAGGTTGGAAAGTGGCTTAGACAAATGCACTGTCAGTTCAGCAAACTGAAAGTGGATTTTGACAAAACCATCTCAATGGCATGAAAGGTCTTTATAGACTGTCCTGTAAAGACAATCTGCAAATGGCAGGCAATCTGATTGCTATTAGAGTCTTACTGGCCAGGTAATGGCTGATTTGATAAGCCTGCAGCTAGGTGTTACACAAGAGTTGAGTATGATGAATGAGCAGTTCGGTCATTGTTATCAACTTCGTAAACAAAATAGTTTATTTCTTTTTAAATATTTAGCATATATTACATGCATATAGACTATCTATCTAATATATCACTATTGGAGAACAAAATTCTACAAGAAAAAAATATTAAAGCCAGTCAGAATGACATGTAAGAATATTTTCTTAGAGGAAAAAATTCAATATAAAATGTCCAGTAGCAAAACCTTTTATCCAAGGAGGGCAGAGGAATTGACATATATGTATTGGCAATACTTAAGGTTGTTCAAAATGTGACTCTTCTTTTCAGTTACTTACCTTTGGCAAAAGTTTAGACTGTAGCTCTTTTTTTTTCGCCAGATGAAAAGATGTTGGAAAATTCCAGCAAAATAATTTCTTCCATTTAAAAAATAATATTTTAAAAGCATGGAGTGTTTTGGCCTTGTTGAATTGTTAGACATCTCCAAGCTCTGCAGCAAGGGCTTGCAGAATGTTTGTCCTGTGCCTTGCAATTAATCAGGGATGTCCGTCTTGCATGTCCTTTGTGTGCACTGGAGCTCATGAGAGACTGGTAGCTATTTTATCGAGAAGTCTTCCCCAAGCATATTTGAGCCTAAGATAGCTGAGGATGGACAGAAATTCCCCTGCAAATGCTCCTTCCCATTGTTTATCTTCTCTTAGCCTGAGTGCAAGCTGTGAGAGTGTGGAGACTAGCTTTTTATTCCCTGTCTTACCCACCTACAAAAATAAAGGGAGAAGAGTTGTTGAGCATACAAGAGAAAGTATGACAGGAAGTAATGTGAAAAGTTGTGAGGAGCACAGAAGCCTTCCTGGTGAAAGCAGTGCAGTAGGCAGGGTGTCAGCAGTAGGTAGGAGTAATTGAAATGGAATGAGGAGCAGTGGCAGGCTGTGTATTAGTATGCAAATTCTGGAAGAGGCTGCTTATTAGATATATGCAGAGATTCAGATTTGCATTGTGGTGTGTACATTATATAATGCAAGGTCTGAGCCTAACTTTCTTTCATCAGAAAATCTAATAAAGCAGGTTAACGCAGATGCCTGTAGTCCTATAAATTCCATAATAAGCGAGCTTAGGAAAATAAACATTTTCTTTTCCAGTCTAAGAAATTATGGAAACTTAACTATCCAGTGAGTTTGACTGCTAAAGGATGTCCCAGAGAGACTTAATATTGTGCTGAGTGCAGATGAAATGATTGAAGATAAATTATAATCCATGCAATATTGATTGGCTGTGACTCGTCCCTCTGTAACTAGGAATTATTTAACTACAGAAGCAGTAGGTCACCTTTATGATCAATTAGCCTTTAAAAGTATGAGATACTTTATTAATGATATACGTTCCAGTCTAATATGTGGGAATCTATTAAATAGCTCTAATGAATTGTATTTATGGGAACTTATTTGGTAAATCAACCCACAAATTCAAATCCCCAAACTGATATTCCACAGAAATAAAATATTTTTAAAGCGTCTGAGTGAATGAAATTTAAATAGAAGTACTTTGGCATTTTTCTAGGATACTATGTCAGGAAATGGTGATTAATGGTTCTCAATTAGCTAAATATAAGTACCAGCAGCTGAAATATTCTGTCTGGCACTAGGAAGGAATTCGTATTAGCTCTGGAAATAATGGAAATAACTGAAGTATGTAATGGCCTTAGTATTTCCTTTTTTGTCTGAAGACCCCTAGCTGTACCACATAGTCCAGAAGACAAGGTAACACAAATTTGGTCACAGGCAAATTGATTTTTTTTTTTAAAAGTAATTGCATTTTAAAATTATTTGTTTCAAAAGCTCTCCAGCTTTATGAAAATTAATTAAGCTTCTATAGCCTTGTCACCCAGCAAAATACGCATGAATCTCGTCCACTATACTATTAAGTCCTTTCTTCTATGTGTTTTTGCTATTTATTCAAAGTTGTTGCTGTGTTGTATTCTTCTGATTCCTGGGGGATTACTGAAAGAGATGAACTGCAAGGCACAAAGAGTGAATACATAACTGAAATACTAAGAAGGTATATTCATGTAGAACAACAACAACAAAACAACAACAGAAAAAAACAACCAACCAAAAAAAAAAACAACCAACAAAACAAACAAACAAAAACTAGGCAACCTGAATTGATAAAGTGTCTTTAATTGTTGTAAGTCAGTGAAAAGGATGTTAGGCGAACTGTAAAATATGATGAACTTCTGGTATGGCAATAAACCATGAAGAGAGCTGTAGGCACAGAAGTTAGGCTGAACAACGGAGCAAAACACACTAAATCATCAACAGAAAGTATGGCATGCCTTAAGAGATTATGAGAATTTTATTTACTGTTAACACTTGGTAATCAGTACTGAAATGCCAGGAGAGTAATGATACAGGTTGATAAGCCCATGCATCTCCTTATGAGCTGAAGTTTTCTTTCAGGTTGTTTCTGAAGTTTCTATTTCTGTATGTTCAACAGTAGTGTAATGTTCAGGAATATCCGGCTTTCCTGCTACCCATCCTTCTCTTCTCCATTTTCATTTCAAGATTAAATCAAATGTATTTCTCTGTGGATATTATTTAAAATAAATCTGACTGATATATCCCAATAGTGAAACATTTATCAATACCAAACATAATCTGTTCAGAAGGCCTTTATAAAATGCTGTGTGGCAGCCAGAAGCACAACAGTCGCCATTATTTTACTCTGTTATCTTATGACTCCCACCAAAATACCAGGTCATTGCACATCAGCACTTCTGCAAGATTGGATCAATGACAATCGTTTCTTAAAAGGAGGAACAGTCAAGACAAAATACTCTACTGTTGTGTGTTTTGTATGAAAACAGTCTGTGGAACAGTATTTTGTTTTTGAAGATAGTTTGGTTTAAACTTTGTTAATTTAAACCTTTTATACTTATTATAAAATTATCTTAAGGATGGAGCATCATAAAAATTTGGAGACCACTAGTGACTTCCAGGCAAAAACATGGCAGTGGCAGAACTCTAACCCATTTCTGAGGAGGATCTGGATATTTCCCCCCAAAATTACTTCTGAGATATATTTGATTACATTTTATTGTATTAAAAACATAGCTTCACTATATGCTATGTAATACAGTTCTGCAAGCCAAGTTGGCATGATTTTCTTTAATGATTTTCTGTAATTAATGATTGTCATTTTCATGCTTTAGCAATCTGAATGACTGGAATCCCACAATGTGTTACTATCTGGTCATTTTCTCAAGCTGTGTGTGCTTTTTGTAACTAACCCTGATACACATTTTTGCAAGTATTAAAGAACTAGAAGAAGAGTGCTAGTTGGTGAAAGCAGAGTCTAGCAATACTATCATAGAATCATTAGGGTTGGAAAAAATCTTCAAGATCACCTAGTCCAACCATCCCCCTGCCACCAGTATCACCCACTAAACCATGTCCC